CACAGGAAGCGGATGGGCAGGATCAGAACAGCTCCTGGCAAGGCCACATAGGATACTGGAGGCCGACTCACGCTGGGAAAAGTGTCAGGCTTCTTCAATCACTGCCACAGGGCCAAGCAACCCTCGCCCTTCCCCACATACCATGGTTAGGAGGAGGACAAAAAGAAGGACACATATTTCACTTAACCTCTGCCACCGGCCATAGAGCAGCTCCCAGCCCCTCCAGCTTACCCCCTCCCACCTCAGGGGAACTTCAAGCGATGTAGCGGAGTACATCCCTCCTTCCAGAGTCTTTGGGGCACCCCAGGGCCTGGAGTATAAAGGTCAAGCCCTCCAGTCCACATGCTCTCCTGTGCGATCCATGCCAGTGCTCCCCCGCACATGCTCTTCGTTCCTGCCAGCCTGAACTGCAGGCTGTTTCACACTTCTCCGTGCCCACTCCCTCTCTATCCCATTAACGATGGTGCCCAACCATCACCTCCCAGGGAAGCCTTCCCTGTCCCCCCACGCTCCTGAGGAGCCCACTACACATGGCCAGTGGACATCCCCAGCCACCACCCTCGTGTATATTTTTGCAGCTCTGCCTTGGGCTCTCTAAGCTTCAGGTTTCCTATCTGGAGAATGGGAGGCGGGACTGCTCTGACCATTAAACGTGATATGGTGTGTGCCTGGCATTAGAGGCACCAACCAAGGCCACTCTTCTCCTTGTTCCACACTCCCACTCTTGAAGCTCCTTAAAGGCAGGGAATGTGACTTTTGATTCAGAGGCCCCAGTAACCAGGACAAGTGTTAGCACAGAGCAGGTGCTCCTTACATGTTGAAAGAACCCTCATTTCACAGCCAAGAAAACCCAGCCAACAGGGGAGATATGGAGCCCACAATCCTCTCCAAGCCACCTGGCTTCTTGAAGGATGACACAGGGTCAGCCCCACTTTTATTAATGACCAGGCCAGAGCAGGCTGAAAAGGCTGGTTTGGAGTTAGGCCTCAGGTCCCCAACTTACACAGCTAGGATCTCTTGCCCACTCCCCATATCTCAAACCCCAGCCAGAGTCACAGCCAAAGCCTAGCTCTTCTGGGCCCACCTTTCTCTGGACCGCTTCAGCAGGGCCCAAGGCTGCCTAACTTCTGTCTGCAAAGAGCAAGCACCTCTCCCCGCCCTCCTGGGGCTGTCCTCACTAACCAAGAGGGCTTATAAACTCTGCCCTTCAAACCGGGAGAGGGTTCATATCCCAGCCCTCATTTACCGAGTCGTGGGGATTAGTGGGAAACCGGCCTTTCCTTTCTGCCCTCGCTCTGCTCCCAGGGTCCACCCAAGAGAAGTTACTAATTGACAGCGCAGGAGTGCACAGTGCTTACCCTGTTGTTTGTGTTGAAGTGGGGTGGGGGTGAGGGTCCACCATTTACCGGTGAGGACTAAAGGAGTGCTCATCAATCACCCACCGTCCGTATATATACGGCGGATGGGGGGCTGGGGCTTCCCCTCTGGGGGTGCGTGGCAGGGGGATCACAGGCTTCCTTTTGTCAGTCGCGCCGAGCGCAGCCTGGAAGGGCTGTTACTACGTAGGGGAAGCCTCGACCTCCCCGTCGACTTTTCCCCGACCCTCCTCCCTCCTCCCCGACCAGAGCAAGGACCCCACCAGTGGTCCTGGGAGGGCGGGGAAGAGGCCGGACGGTCCCGGGCTGCAGGCGGCTGCTGCGGCGTTGGCGAGGAGGGGGCGCGAAGGAGCAGCTCCACCTCCTCTGTCTCCCAATCGCGTTACAGGCGGAGCCGCCAGAGTTTCCCTTCGCGCGGAGAAGTATGGTCCCAACTCTCAGGACCGAAACCGACCACCATTCACACGGGCTGCCCGGGCCCGGCGGCATCGAAGCTCCAGGCCCTTCCATCCCGGGGATGCGCCGCCTCGCCCCGGTCCTACCGCCCCGGCCCCGGGCCCCGCACTCACCACCCGGCCGGGCCCCGCAGGACTAGCACGCCGAGGCGGGCGCCGGCCGTTCCGGGCTCGAGATCTGCGCGCGCGGCGGCGGCGGCGGCCTCCCCCCCCGCCCCCCGCCGGAGGTGGGTCTGGCGGAGCCGCAGCTGTTACCCGGAGACCGAGGGGCGGAAAACTGCGGCCGCTGCCCGCCCCTCCCGCCGCGGCGCTGCCACCGCTGGGAACAAAGGAGACAAAGCCGCGTCGGCCGGGCCCGGCTCCGCTCCTTCCCCCCCTCGCCCGCCGGGCCGCCCTCCCCCCGCCCGCCGCCCAGGCCAGGCCGGAAGCAGCCGGGAGAGCCAGGCGCGCGGCCCCAAGCCGCCCGGGACCCCGCATTCCAGCCCGCCCGGCTCTGCACTTGCCGGGGGCGGGGGACTA